GACTGCTGGTCTTCTGACCCTGCAGCACACAAAGGCTTCTGCGGTTTAGGCCGCAGCGCCACCACATCCCCATAAAGTAAATGGACATTCAAATGTGGAAAGACAGTAATTATAATGAAAATGACAACAGAGATTAATACATAGCCTAGTTCTTATTAGGACATATGGACATATTTTAAAATAGCTTGATGCCTCTAATTATAACTGTTCTAACCTAGCAGAATTTTTTCCACCTATGTATATACCCTTAAGTACAATACTATATAGTAATAGACAGTAATATATACCAGAGGTTTTTTTTAAAAAAGTCCAAACTGTTAAGAATTATTCAGCCACACTGATAGTGTTTCAAAAATTATGTCTTGAACTGTTTTTCCAGTCTGCAGAAATGACAACTGCATTAAGCTGTTATAAAAATCTTGATCATATTAAGACCCAAGAATTCTGCAGTCATCCTGTTTACCTTCTACTTCCATATATGTAAGTAACTCACTTGTAGTATTTCAGCTGAGTAATAGCTATTGTTATGAAAGCTGTTTAACAGACAGAATACATTTATGTAATGGAGTTTTTAGACACTCACGTAGATTCCATTTCCCGAAGTTTAGCACCAGCTGTGAGCTGCATGTTCTTCCGTTGCCAGTTAAGGTCCTGAATGTGTTTTCTGAAAGAAGAATGCAATGTAACAGAATAGAGAACCGTATGCCTTCTATGTTGGTTCCTTTCTACTCAAAGTTGACTTGGCCAACTCTCACCATCCCAAAGAATTAGAAAAACATATCTGGTAGTTCCTGGGTAAACTAGAGTTCTCTTATTTTACCATGGTGAAAACAAAATGCCTGTGTATGCTAGGTAGAGCCTCAATCAAGATGCACAGCATCTGTCTCATGGAGAGACATAGCTGATTCTATTGGAGGCTCCTGCTGACTCCCAATTCCTCCACAAAACTTCTCATTCCCAGACAGAGAGCCCCCTACTACTGCCAATCAGAGAATACAAGCAAAACGGATAAAAATAAATGAAGTCAAAAATATATAAGAAAACATCAATTTATCTCCTTCAGAGTTTTAAATTATAAATCAAATTTTTATTTTTCAAAGCTATAATGCTTTTTCTTCATTAAAAAAGTCCTAATTTAAAATGAATTCTAGCTCAAATAATTCACCATGGAATAAGCATTATAAATTCTAATTTTACATTATGAGACACTGGCCAGAACCCTATTGTTTAAATACACTGCAATAACACCATCAATTTAAGCGGTAAATTGTTACCAGTTGAAGAAATCAATGCTGTTTTTTTCTGGTCATGCAACCAAGTGGCACAACTCTTGTGTGTGATTTTAAAAAACTACACACACACACACACCCTTTTAACTCCTGGCAATTTGTTTTTGAAAGTTACACTGGTGGAGTTATTCCAATAGGTGTAACTAAGTGGATTTTGATCAACATAATTTTTTAGAAAAGAGTTCTGTAAACAGGACCTAACGGCTCTTTGATTAGGAACTCAATGCCATGGGATTCCAGAGACTTCTGTATAGATTGTTTAGGATAACCTTTCTATCCCCAGGACTCTGAAACATTTGCAGTTTTCAAACTGGGTTAGTGTCTTAAAAATACACACTTGTTAACAGCAATGTAAGGAAATAAGAAAAAATGGTCTGCATCAGCCTTCTTTTCCAGGTATGACTGAAATTCACACTGCAATTTTTATTGGTTGCAAATTTTTAGAAGCCATATTAAAATATCCAGAATGGTTCTCAACAGTTTCTTGGAGTGATTCTGGTTGCTTAATAATCACAACCACTCTTCCTCTGCAACTTTGTGCAAATAACATTAACTGTTTACCCTATCTCAAAAGTGCACATTTCATCAGCAAAGTGAATGGATTTAGACTTAATCATGTGATTCCCACAACACCAAAGTGAATCCGTATTTTCTGTACACTTAGTATATACTTTTCACAATCTCTTAGCTCAGTGCACACTTCTGGACAATGGAAACATCAATGGGTAGAGGACAATTAGAAGTTGAGCCAATGTGTGTAAGGAGATTTTGTGTGTGTGTGCGCGCGCAGAAGTGCACTTGAGGGTGAATTGCATGATTAAACTGACTCTTTCGGAATAGTAACTGAAATTGTGTTATAAGTTATTTAAATCAATTTGATTAAATCCTCCCTGACTGCAAATGCTGACCACTGTGATTACAAACAGTGGTTGCCGCTCAGGCGCTATTCTGGATTTCCCCCCACCTCCCAGAACATAAGAACTATGCTGGATCTACAGAATTAAGAATAACTACAGAATTATACAGAGATAACCTTTGTCTGGAATTAATGAAGAGCTAGGTAGGATTACAGCCATGGCCTACTGAATTCAGTATTTTGTTCACATAGTGGTAAGTCAGATAACCCTTTCATGTGGAAGTCCACATGAGAGCAAGGACACTGTCCATTTGATATTCAGAATACTGTGAAAAAGGAAAAGGCCTGGCCAACATGCAGATTTCTCATTAACTAAAATTGTATCATAAATTACAAGATACATTTTTGAAGCTATAAAAATGTAATGAGAGGCTAGATGTGCTCAGCAATGACATAACGTAGCTAGATGCAAGGAAAGTAATGAGGACTATTTAGAGATAAGCCTGTGCCTGCAGTATCACAGCACCTGAAAAGTCATCCCAAGTAAAAACACCGAAACGAGTGTTTATCTCTGAATTGCCAGATTACAAAAAAAGGATAAATTTAAAATACTTTTGTTAAATTACATAAAAGTATACTGTTGCTTCCTTTACTGTCTTAAGATTTTTCTCACACAAGAAAATTATGCACTTATGGTGTACTACATAGGATCTCTGGACACTCTTTGCAAACTACAGTACTAGGCCCCATGTCTCAAGGCCTGGGGGCCGAATTCAGCATGCTGGGCTGTTTCATGTGGCCCTCGCACTGTGTAGTATATAATACACAGGCGCTTACTCAGTCACCCATAATGCTCCACAAGGATGCTGGGAATCCGCCCAGTGGGACTTCTAATCCCAGGATTCCAAGCAGCAAAGAGTCAGAAAGTGCACCTAATAAATGTAAAGAACCCACCGCAGGTCCTGGGGTCATTGCAGAGATGCTATTTGCCACCATGAATATGGCCCTTGTCCAAAGGTGGAAGGATCAGGGTTAGGATTAAGACTAAATTTTAATAAATTATACAGTAGTTGTACACTTGAATATCTGCTTGCCATTATTTCTGGACTTTGAACATTTCAGATTCAGAGCTAGTTATTACTTAATTTATTACTAAAACCAGTAATAATCGAATGAGGAAAATTATATTTTATATGATAAACAGTAGATACATTTAGTTTTACAGACACAACTGGCCCTTTGAGGGCTGCCATAATGCCAATGCAGCTCAAGATGAAATTAAGTTTGACACCTCTGTACTAAGCATTTATGGTTCTGACTGATTTTATATATATATAAATCCCAATCCCAAAGAAAGGCAGTGCCAAAGAATGCTCCAACTACCGTACAATTGCACTCATTTCGCACGCTAGCAAGGTTATGCTCAAAATCCTGCAAGGTAGGCTTCAGCAGTATGTGGACCGAGAACTCCCAGAAGTACAAGCTGGATTCCGAAGAGGCAGAGGAACTCGAGACCAAATTGCTAACTTGCGCTGGATTATGGAGAAAGCCAGAGAGTTCCAGAAAAATATCTACTTCTGCTGCATTGACTATGCGAAAGCCTTTGACTGTGTGAACCACAGCAAACTATGGCAAGTTCTTAAAGAAATGGGAGTGCCTGACCACCTTATCCATCTCCTGAGAAACCTATATGTGGGACAGGAAGCAACAGTCAGAACTGGTCATGGAACAACTGAGTGGTTCAAAATTGGGAAAGGAGTACGGCAAGGCTGTATATTGTCCCCCAGCTTATTTAACTTATATGCAGAATACATCATGCGGAAGGCTGGACTGGAAGAAACCCAAGCCGGAATTAAGATTGCCGGAAGAAATATCAACAACCTCCGATATGCAGATGATACCACTCTGATGGCAGAAAGTGAGGAGGAATTAAAGAACCTTGTAATGAGAGTGAAAGAGGAGAGTGCAAAAAACGGTCTGAAACTCAACATCAAAAAAACTAAGATCATGGCCACTGGTCCCATCACCTCCTGGGAAATAGAAGGGGAAGATATGGAGGCAGTGTCAAATTTTATCTTCCTGGGCTCCATGATCACTGCAGATGGAGACAGCAGCCCTGAAATTAAAAGACGCCTTCTTCTTGGGAGGAAAGCGATGACAAATCTGGACAGCATCGTGAAAAGCAGAGAC